GTGGAACAAATAAGGAATTAACCCTTTCAGTGGAGGAGCAGTTGTTTTTTCTAAACGAAAACCTCAGCATTCGGGTTTTAATTGCAGTATTGGCACTCTGAAATAAATAAGTTGATTTTGTAGTTTGGGCACTCGGGCTCAAAAAGGTTCACCATCACTGGTTTAGAGCCTTGTTGATAAATAGTGGTTGCACCTGGTGTGGAGCTAATTAAAACAACTTAACTGGAACAGCTAGAGACAATGAAACACAGGCTGTGGTTGAAACTGTGGTCTGCAGGATGATGGGATTTAAGTTGGAATCTTTACCACACTCTATCTTGATTCCTCATCTTGGAATAGTGATCATCATCAGCTTTATGCTGTGAAAAACTCTGTATGCATGTGTAAGTATAGCAGAAAGAGTTACCTTTTCTTGTTTTCTCTGGGAACAGCTTTAACATGCCTTGAAGTTCTGTCAAGTCTGCTTACCTTACCTGATAACTTGGACAATGCTAGGGAAGAATGGGCCACAGGAGGCATTTCTGGACATAACCTATCTGGGTTAAAAGAGCTTTGTGACTAAGTGGTGAGAGAAACCCTTCTGTGTAACATGGCAGTAAAAATTCAACACACATCTGGACTTGCTGATCATACTGATAGCAATTATCAAACATTGCAATCCTTGAGAAAGCAAGAGCTACAGTGGAGCCTCACTTAGCGATGTTAATTCGTGCAGAAAAAATCGCTGCTAAGTGATAACATCGCTAAGCGAAATAAAAAAGCCCATAGAAACACATTAAAACACGATTAATGCGTTCCTATGGGCTTAAAACTCACCTTTAAGCGAAGATCCTCCATAGTGCTGCCATTTTCGGTGCCTCTAAAGTGAGGAATCCGTCCCTGAAACCAGGCGGCCATTTTGTTTACTTGGTGGCCATTTTGAAACCACCGATCAACTGTGCGAAAATGGGCGCTTTGCGATGATCGCTTCCCTGCGATCATCGCAAAGCGAAATACCCCATAGGGATGGCAAAAAATCCATCGCAAAGTGATTTCGTTGCTATGTGGAGCAATCGCTATGCGAGGCACCACTGTACTGTGTTCTTTGCTTCTGACAGAGAAGAAGAAAGTTTGGTCATTCAACCTGTGCTCATATTTGATCTCAGTTAATTTTAGTTTTAAGCTGAGAAGATGTATTATGTGTGTCTGGTTTCTGTTAATGTGCGGTATTTTTAGAAAGAAAATTGTCGACCTGATGGAAGAGACCTTGGTGAATTCAGAACCACAACCGTCAACATAGGTGAGTGTTTTCATTTTTTAATACCTGTGCTTCGTCACAGTTCTGAGTTAGCTGGGGGAGATATTCTGTTCTTCATTACATCGCTGTAAGATCCACTTACTCTTAAGACCATTGAGAAGAACACGTCATAACTTAAATCTCATTGATTTCGGTGGATCTACTCAAAGTATGACTTATGTGTGGATCCAATCCACCCCCAAGTGTTAATTGATAGGAAATGTAAAACACAAGCCAGATTCTGGTTTAATTAAGGAGGAGAAATCTATATCATTGTAATCATTTCATTTGGGCAGAAGACTGCATTCAACTTTTTCAGTTTTATTGTAGTATATCATCAGACTGTTAAGAAAAATGGCAGTTCTAAACTAATTAGATTCTAGTGGGATTAGAGACAATAGCAGGCAGGATTTTAGCTACTATTTTTCTTTTGATACATCTGTATTAGCTGACTGAATTTCAGTTTGAACCTCCGCAATTGCTTCTGTATTTCTTGTTTATTCTTTTTGTCCTACCTTCCCTTTCCTAGTTATCTAATTTTTTCTTTCTCTTTTAAAATCAGAATCTTTCAAATTTTTCTCCTATTGTCAAACTTTACTTCCAGTCATCTGGGTGAAAATTCCATCTTTGTCTCCAACACATTAAGGAGGCATGTGACTGACACTCTTCTTATAGCAATGAAGACTATGTTTATGTTTTTTATTATCAAAGAAAATCATGAGCATTTTCTGATTTCTTGGCAGAATTTTACAGTCACAGTGAGAAGAACATGAATCTGATTTTTTAACATTTGTTTCATTAAAAAGAAGCCAGCCCTTTGAATCGTTCATTGAAATCTGAAAAGCGATAGCGTGTATGTAGCCCACACAATCATGGGGCTACCAAAATGTTCTCACCAGTTGAAAGCTTCGATTTTTTAAGGCATGCACTCTCTCTTCAGGTTCAATTACCACTGCAGATGGCTCTGCTCTTGTGAAGCTAGGAAACACTACGGTTGTATGTGGTATAAAAGCGGTATGTTCATTAAGAGATATTATTTTAACAGTTTAATGGAATTAATTTTAAAAGGTAATGTCTCAGGTTGTTGTGAAGCAAATTGAACCTCAAAAGTTTGTAGCATTTTCCTCCTTACATGTTGTCTTGACAGCTTTTTTTAGACTAATAGATGGCACTAATACAGTTCCCTGCTTAAGGGGAAGCCATAGTTTCTCATTATGTGGATGTTCATAATAGTTCTTGGCCACATGTTCTAGTCCCTATCCACCCCCTCATCACATGCAGAGGAAGTTTAAAGTTTCTTGGTTGGTTTACTGGAAATCAGTTTTCAATTATGTCCAAATATGGGGAAATGTTTCTCACAATTGGCTGATAAGTTATGGCATGAGGGCTTAGGGTGCTTGAAGAAATTACAGTTTCCCTTAGTCAGACTTAATTAGAAACAGATTTACAGTGGTGCCTCACACAGCGAGGTTAATCCGTTCCGGATTAACCCTCGCTGTGTGAAAACATCGCTGAACGGGGCAGAAAAGCCCATTGGAACGCATTAAACTTCGTTTAATGCGTTCCAGTTGGCTGATTTACTCACCGTTCAGTGATGTTTTGCAATGGCCAGCAGCCATTTTCGCGCCCTCCCCTCACTTAATGAGGGCGCGAAAATGCTGCGCGTGGCCATTTTGGGGCTTCCGACGGCCATTTTGTAGCCGCCGAACAGCTGATCGGCGGGTCGCAAAGCGAAGGTCGGTAAGCGAACCGCTTCCCGACCTTCACTCTGCGATTTTCGCCCTATGCAGGCATCGGTGTGCGATCGCAAAACCAGCCTCATAGAGCAAATTCATTGCTCTACGGTGCACTCGTTGTGCGAGGCACCACTGTATTGTAAACCCTAGAAAGCTTTAAGCTTCCTTCTCACAAGAAAGAAGGAGGAAGAGGGAAAGGAAAGCACCTTGGGGCTGAGGTGGACAATCCTATTGAATCTCACATGGCTGAAACAGTGGTTCCCAACCTTTTTTGAGTTGTGACCCAATCTTTTTATGATAGCCAGCTGGCTTGCAACACCCACCCACCCCCGGCCACATTTGTATAAAAAAGCCTCTTTAATGGGGTAAATCCATCCTTCCTCAGAAAGTCGAAGCTTCTTTCTCCCCCAAAGGGCCTGTTTCTCCTACATGCATGCTAACCTTACAAAACATATAAGGTGGCCTGCAACCCCTCAGAAAACATTTTATGACCTCCCCCCAGGTGGTAAACAATGATCTAAAATGATGGTGGGAAGATGGATAAATATTCCTGTCTTTGCCTACCCAGATACGGAATCCTGTGTGGGTTGAACTCAGCATGACCATCATCATTTTAAGTGTTTGTATTTTGCTATTGTAAGCTTCCCTGAGTCTCTTAGGGGTGAGTGAGATCTAAACTTGAAGAAAAGCCTTCTGCACCAAGAGAATTTTCAGTGGTTGGCACTGAAAGTTAAGCTTCAAAATAGTTCATAGTACAGCAAAGAATTTTCAATTGTAATGTTTTTCTGAGGAAAAATCAGCCTTCTGTTGTTTATTTCTCAGTTGAGTTTCTGTTATGCATTCACAAAAATGAATATATTATAGCACTCATGGATTTGTCAGCTTTGGTGCTATCAAGATGTTGAGATGCCATGGTCGTGCCTCACTTCCCCTGCCCAGTATTCTTACTGAGAACAGCTGAAGAGTACTACGTACTTTGTTGCTGCTTCCAGCACTAATCACCTGAGTAGGAATGGGGAGCAGTACCATGTTAATATGTCAGGACAGGTATTCTATTTTTGCCCATCTGAAAATATGAGCTAGAATTGTATGTATCTATGAATGTCAGAGCGGGTTGCGTGCTAGCAAGGTTGGAACAAGGGGTGGAGCCCACGCCATATCACCCATAAGCATAGAAGCATTGACTCTTGGGAAGAAAATTTTGGCCTACCGATATAGTGTCGAAACTGTGTTTAGTGTTACTGAATGATAGTTGCCATGGTTGTCATTCAGAAACTGATAAGCATTATTTATATTGATCCTAAGATTTCTGAGAAGATATTTCTAAATCTTTTCCAATTCTTATGTCCTTCCCTCTCTGCAACATGAACATACTGCATACAGGAATTTGCAACACCCCCTGCTGATGCCAGTAACAGGGGATATATTGGTAAGGTTCCTTTACTTACTTGCTTTTGAAATTACAGTGGTGCCTCGCTTAACGGGTGCCTCGTTTAACGACGAATCCGCATAGCGACAATTTTTTGCAATTGTTTTTGCGATCGCATAATGATGTTTCTAATGGGAAAATATCACTTTGCGATGAACGGTAAGCTGTTTCGCTTACTGATTTTCGCATAACGATGTTTTCCCAACAGCTGATCGGTGGTTCCAAAATAGCCAACGGGTAAAAAAAATGGCCGCCCACTGTGTTTTCACGCCCATTCCTCGCTTACCGGGCAGCGAAAATGGCGGCCGTATGGAGGATTTTCGCATAAAGTTAAGTTTTTTGCCCATAGGAACGCATTAAACGGGTTTTAAAGCATTCCTATGGGCTTTTTTATTTCACATAGCGACAATTCCGTGTAGCGACGATTTTGGCTGCACGGATTATCGTCGCTGTGCGGGGCTCCACTGTACTGTATTGGTTGCTTGTATCTTACAAGATGTATCTTGCATGTATTAGCAGGAAAATGCTAAGAATGTCTGTTCAGAACTAAGTCTCATTATATATATGTCCTTGTATACTGTAGGGATGCTACCTATAGTAATTGTTATTTTATTTACTATTTATTTCTAAACTTTACTTCTTTCATAACATATAAAGCCTTGTCTCTATTCTGCACTTTCCAACCAACAGATGAATGCCTTTGGGACAATTAATTGAAGCTTATAGGGTGTACCTATTGCAACACTTAACAAAAGGATAAAAGTAGTATAGCTGAATAAATAATAAGATTAAGAGAAAATTCTCACATGTGTTTATTCATATACACCACGTTTCTCTGTTTGTTTATAAGTATACAGATTAGAGATGGGGGTATTCATATTTGTATACAAGTGCCCCCACATAGATTGACATAACGAGGTGGACTAGCCACTCGTCAGCCTGGCAGAAAGGCTTGTTTTCCCTCCTTCTGCCAGGAGTGGTTAGTCGACAACGAGCTCTGGAGCGATTGGAAGGGAGCATGGAGACGGCTGGAGCAGCGGACAGATGAGTGGGATGGTTTGGCCCCAGTGGCCCGGACCCTTGTTATGTACTCCTGTGAGGAAGTATCATATACGAATACCCCCATCTCTAATATTGATAATCATAACTTCTTGAAATTTTGTTCATTTTTTTCACTGCAGAATGATTTTCAGTGTTGTGGCTCTAGTCTTACTACATGTTTTGCTTATTGCACTTTTTTAAAGGTACCGAATGGTGGCTTTGGGCTACCTCCTTTCTAAGCACGTTTCAAATTTTAGCATCCTGTTATCCTATCAGCTTTTTAAATCTTCCTAGTTGGCACCCTTTCCAAGTATAAGCCAATGGTTCAAATGGACGTATTCTGCCTAAATTCTCTAAATTGAAGAGTCATGGAAATGTAGAATACATCAATTTCTTTTCTTCCCTAAATACAGTGTCCTCCTGTATTCTGGAAGGTTTCCCAGCTGTCCAAAGCAGATTTTGGCTGAAATCCTGTTGCTATAAATTACACCGTGAATTTCTAGATATTAAACACTTCTGATTTCTCTCCCAAGGCTCCTGTGCAATCCCTTTCATTTTCCAAAATCTTGTTGCTAAGCATAGAAAGTTGTCCTAGAGTAGATCCCTTAAATCAGTGGGGGTTTGGTGTGTCAACCTCTCCATAAGTTCTATTGATTCCAGTGGGCCTACTGTAGTTTAGACTTCCTTTAGGGTATCAAGTTATCACCAGAGTAAGCCTATTTGAATCAATGGAACTTATAGAGGAAGTGACTCATTAAATCCCCACTGATGCAGTGGACCTACCCTAATGCAAGATGCTACACTAAGCAGTAAGATTTTGGCCATTTTGGGGAAGCCAAGGGCGCCATGGGACAGAAGGAGGATGTTTTTTAATTACTGCAAATTGCCATTGCCAGTAAGATCATCTCTGACAGTTTTGGCTAATTAAAAACTTGCCCCTCCCATTCTGCAGTCCCAGGGTTGCTGATAATGAGAGGGATTTCACAGTCTTGGGAGTTTTGGGAGAAAAGTCAGAAATGTTTATTTTTAAAAAAATTACCAGTGATGACATTGTCAGCCTTATGCAGCATAGGTTTACAGTAACAGGATTTTGGACTCTGGGGAAAAGAGAGCGAAAACCTGAAAATGTCCATTCTGTGTTTGGGATTTTTACCTCTAGAACTTTAGATCAAATACTCTTGTGCTTGAATTTATTTTAAGTTTCCTGGGGATTCAAGGTTATTTTATTCATTATTCTTAAGAGATATGTGGAATTCAGGAAGAAGTCATGCTAATGTAAATTAGGTGAATATTTAATCACCTTTTTCTTTTTCCTAACAAGAGTAGGTCTAGAATGTAAAATATTGAGGAAGGAGTATGTCACCAGATGCCTCCTATGATATCTTTTGCTTCATCATGATTTTTCCCTCCGTAGTTCCTAATGTGGATCTTCCTCCACTCTGTTCATCAAGGTTTCGACCTGGACCGCCAGGGGAAGAGGCTCAGGCAGCTAGTCAGTTTATTGCAGATGTAATTGAAAAGTAAGATACTGTTAATGATCTATTAATTTTTCAGTATAGAATTGTCAAGAAGAGCTGGTTTTCCCCTTCAAAATTTCACTGTTTCAGTTCACAGATAGTACTGAAAGAAGATCTGTGCATTGTTGATGGGAAGGTAAGTAAATGCTTAATCTTTACAATTAATACTAAGTGTATAGTGTTTAAAAACTCTGGAATGCATCTGTTCCCTTCCAGTTCACATAAAAAAGTTGAAATGACATTTTGCTTTGTGATATGTGCTTTGTATATATGGATAAAGTGACCTAAGTCATTTGGTGTGGAAGTTTTTGCCTGCTGCTTCTGAGATGGTCAGAATAGACCTCATAGGGTCACAGTTCCTGCCAAACATTTAACTGTTTAAAAGTTTCAAAGTAGGGTTCTTATGGGTGAAGACCTCACCGGTGTAATGCATTTTTCAGTGCACTGCAAAAAAAGAAACCTTAAATGTAGCTTAGTTTTCAGAGTGATCTATAATGATTCAAAGGTAGGTATAACATTATACTGGCAATTTTTAAATAAAATACACTGTGGAAAAGGGTATGTACAGTGGTGCATCGACTTAAAAACTTAATATCTTCTAGAAGAACAATCATAACTCAAAATGGTCATAAGTCGAAGCACCATTTCCATTGAAATGCACTGAAACCCCATTAATTTGTTCCAGTTGAAAAAAATAATCAAAAAACACCACACAGCAAGCCCCATCGAAACGCGATGGGGTTGAAAAATAATAATAAAAAAAACACGCCCACACACCAAGCCCCATTGGAATGCGATGGGGCTGGAAAAAAAACAAAACAAAACAAAAAACCCGTTCCACACACAGCCAGCCCCATCGGAACACAGTGGAGCTGAAAAGAAAATCGACCCCCCTCATACACAACCAGCCCTATCAGAACACGATGGGACTGAAAAAAAAAATCAAATACCCCCCCACACACACACACAGCCAGTCCCATCGGAACACAGTGGGGCTGGAAAACACACACACACACACACACACACTCCACACACACAGAGCCAGCCCCATTGGAACGCAGTGAGGCTGAAAATTAAATAAAAAACACTCATGTACAGCCAGTCCCATCGGAACACAATGGGGCTGGAAAAAAGAAGCTTCTGTAAAGAAGCTCTTCGCCGACCAACGGTTAGCCCTGTAATTTGAATTCCCCGCTCCTGCCTCTTTTGATTGCAACTTGAAGTTCCAGACACAAGTTGAAGCAAAATTTTGCGGCCAGAGCTGGTTGCAACTCAAAATGGTCATATGTCGGGATGGTCATAAGTCGAGGCACCACTGTATTAGTACACGCGCATATCATGCTAAATGGAGCAGAGACCTTTCTGGGTTTTTTTTTTAATGTAATAATCACCACTCTTGTCACGTAATATATTTGCACAAGCAATATTAACATGCACATTGTGAATAGCAAGGCCCACAAAGAGCATGTTAGTGTGCAGATCACTAGGTTATTTAATGCATATAGTCATGCTGTTTCTCAGCTGTGTGGTCATTAATTTATGCAATGTAGCTATCTTCACATTTATTAAATCTGCATTTGTGGCCCTGCATTTTTTTTTAAAAAAAATGAGTATATCTGGTTTTGTTAGTTTTATCCTTCCTGTTCTATTTAACTGGGTTTAAGGTTCTGTCCCTGTATGTAAACCAAGGGTGGCCAAAGTGTAGCCCCCAGGATCCTCAACACCGGCCACACGGAAAACTTTTGTTCAATATTAAAGTGGCCGGTTTCACTCCCAGAAGCCTCCAGAGGTGCAAATAGCCAGTTTAAAGTTTCCCTCTTCATCCCTGTTTAGGCTTGAAATGTGGGAGACTTCATCCCAGTGAGGTCCAGAAAGGGGCCTGCCATCCCCGAGTGGGTCCCCCTGTGTGAGATGGGGTTTAGAGCAGCAAATGGGCTAATCTGGCATTCCCAAACACTTGTAGCCTTATCTGTTGCTGGTAACGTTTTAGTCATTTGGGCAGTACTAAGAGCAAGGTGGCTCTGAAATACTCTGCTGCTAGAGTTATTTTAGTGTGCACATTTAGAGATCGGCACAACAAGATTAAGCTGCTGGTGCCCCCCATCCACCTCTTCATCTGGTCATCTGAAAATTGGGTAAGGGATGATGTGTCACCTTAAGTCGCTCTAGCTGATTTCAGACTTAAGCCTCTTGAAAAGTGACATGAAGGAACGTTTTTGACTTACAGGTTAGTTGCAAAATGTGTCTGTGGTTCCATTTAAGTGTTTTCGGTATTTACATTTGT